AGTATAGTGTCAGATTTAGGGTAGTATGAGGGGCGGACTGACAACTCATGGGGCCCCCGGGCAATAGGGGATCATGGGGCCCCTGTGTCCTTGCCCAAACTCAAAAAAGCCTATGAAAAAGGTACCAGGGGCATCTCATGGGGCCCCCTACAGACCCAGGGCCCTCGGGCAGTGCCCGAGTTATCAAATGGTCAGTCCGCCCCTGGGTAGTATAGTGGCAGTACAGTGACAGTTTAGGGTTGACAGCAACAGTGTGATCAGTCACTTACCACATGCTTGGAAATGAAGACTCCCGGGGCTGCTGTGTCCACTCCTCCCCTTCTTCAAGTTCGGAGCAGCCAGAGTGAAGGAGTCTGTGGGAGGAGGCAGCCACACCCCCAGCTCCGCCCATCAACTCCAGCTGCCTCGGAAGAGATTCAAGTTTCCGATGCTAATTAGAGGACAGGGGAGTGGTTCAGGCAGCCTCCCCCATCCTGCTAGGCCCTCTGCTGACCTGATCAGTGAAGTAGCTGGGCAGCACATTTAGTAGTACATTTACAAAGCCTCAAGGCAAGGGAAAGTGTAGCTGTCTGCACAGTATGGTACAGCGGGCAAACAGAGCATCTGGAGTGGAGCGGTCGGTTTTGGGGGGGCACAACTAAGATCTGGGGGGGGAAATCCCACCCCAGCACTCCCCCCTAGATCCAGCCTTACCTTTGTCACTGAATTTGATTGACAGCAGCAGGAGCCAATGGCTCCAACTGCTCTCACTGACTCCAGTGAGGAGGGAGAGAGAGAGCAGAGCTGCAGCTTTCGAGCACAGTGATGGAGTGGGATTCGGCTCATGGGCTGGGGGAGGGAAGAGCTAACAATAAAAGGTTTTTTACCTTTATGCAGAGAATGCATTAGGGTAAAAAACCTTCAGCCTTTACAAACACTTTAAGGCCCATGTACATCTGTGGGTTGGCTTGTGGTACAAACCACCTTTTTTTAGCACAACACATCACCATGGCACAGACTAGGGCCGTAAATGTACATGGAGCTGTGCATGTACGGATCAGTGTACATTACAACTGACAGGCAGGAGGAAGCCTTTATTGTAAAAGACACTGCTAGGGTCTCTTCTGTAATAAACACCCTGCCTGTCAGCACATTTTTTTAAAAGTGGATTTAATATCACTTTAAATGCTTATCCACTTATTTACTGTGGCCATCAGCTCCATCTTTTGGTCATAATGCAATATTTTCCTGATTCACCCTATTCGTAGAAATGAAAAACATGTTAACCTGGAGACAAATTAGCCTAATAACATTCATTTTTGCCCCAAATGTACATGCAGCTTCGCTATAGCTCATCAATTATTTTTATAAATACACCCTTTAGTTTACAGTCCAGAGGTTTCCCTCATATTTTTTGTGGTCAGATATTCTAAGCCTATATATAGGGGATTTAAAAAGTCTACACACCCGTTAAAATGTTAGGTTTCTTGGATGTAAAAAAAAATTAGACAAAGGTAAATCATTTCAGAACTTTTTCTACTTTTAATGTGACCAATAAACTGTACAACTCAATTGAAAAACAAACTGAAATCTTTTAGAGTGGGAAGTAAAGAAAAAACTAAAATAAAATGGTTGCATAAGTGTGCACACCCTCTTATAACTGGGGATGTAGCTGTGTTCAGAATTAGGCAATTACATTCAAACTCATGGTAAATAGGGGTCAAATAAAGTTCAGCTGTTCTAGTAGGTCTTTTCTGACATTTTTTAGTCACATCCTACAGCAAAAGCCATGGTCCGCAGAGAGCTTCCAAAGCATCAGAGGGATCTCATTGTTAAAAGGTATCAATCAGGAGAAAGGAACAAAAGAATTTCCAAGGCATTAGATATACCATGGAACACAGTGAAGACAGTCATCATCAAGTGGAGAAAATTGATGAAAAGATGAGAAGAAAACTGGTCTGGGAGGCTGCCAAGAGGCCTACAGCAACATTAAAGGAGCTGCAGGAATATCTGGCAAGTACTGGCTGTGTGGTACATCTGACAAAAATCTCCCTTATTCTTCCTATGTCTGTGCTATGGGGTAGAGTGGCAAGACGGAAGCTTTTTCTTACAAAGAAAAACATCCAAGCCTGGCTACATTTTGCAAAAACACATCTGAAGTCTTCCAAAAGCATGTGGGAAAATGTGTTCTGGTCTAATGAAACCAAGGTTGAACTATTTGGCCATAATTCCAAGAGATATGTTTGGCACAAAAAAAAACAACACACCGCACACATTGCACACCACCAAATAACACCATACCCACAGTGAAGCATGGTGGTGGCAGCATCATGCTTTGGGGCTGTTTTTCTTCAGCTGGAACTGGGGCCTTAGTCAAGGTAGAGGGAATTATGAACAGTTCCAAATACCAGTCGATATTGGCACAAAGCCATCAGGCTTCTGCTAGAAAGCTGAACATGAAGAGGAACTTCATCTTTCAGCATGACAACGACCCAAAGCATACATCCAAATCAACAAAGGGATGGCTTCACTAGAAGATTACAGTTTTGGAATGGCTCAGCCAGAGCCCAGACCTGAATCCGATCGAAAATCTGTGAGGGGATCTGAAGAGGGCTGTGCTCAGGAGATGCCCTCGCAATCTGACAGATTTGGAGTGTTTTTACAAAGAAGAGTGGGCAAATATGCCAAGTCAAGTTGTGCCATGCTGATAGAGTCATACCAAAAAAGACTGAGTGCTGGAATCAAATCAAAATGTGCTTCAACAAAAGTATTAGTTTAAGGGTGTGCACACTTATGCAACCATATTTTAGTTTTTTATTTTTACTTCCCTCCACCTAAAAGATTTCAGTTTGTTGTTCAAGTGAGTTGTACAGTTTATAGGTTACGTTAAAGATGGAAAAAGTTCTGAAATTATTTATCTTTGTTTCATTTTTTTACTTCACAGAAACCTGACATTTTAACAGGGGTGTGTAGGCTTTTTATAACCTCTGTAGTGTTAGGCTGTCTTCTCTTTTGGTTAATTGTTCATAAGGAATTTTTGGCATAGGGTCAAATGTTAAGGAATGTTACATTTGCCCGTGAAAGGCGACTAGTAGAAACAGACATTTCAAACATGTTCCAAACATTACAGGTATTGGTTGTGAATTTGTGTTAATGCTGAGACATCTGCATTGCAATGTTTTTTTTTAAACAGACCCCTAAATGTATTTGGTTTTAGGCATGTGGGGACATTATATTTTTTTCACAATATATAGAGGAGAGCTCTTTAGACTCTTTACTTTACCCTGCTGCTTATAGCTCTATTTTTTTTTTTTATTAGAAGCATGTGGCTCATATGTCACATTAACAAAGTCTGGCAAGCCTGAACAGCTGTATACAAGATGGAAAAGACTGAAACTGCTTTTATTGATGAAGTTGACCATTGAGGTCTAAAGTATTGATTTGTACGTTCTACCTGCTATGCTTCAAGTGAACCAATGCACTTTTCCTATACAAGAAATACAAAATGTTCACTTGAATTCCAGACCTACAAGCTAGACACACCTCACCTACTTTCCACCACCTCTGTTCATCCTCGGGGAGCAATGAGAGGAAGCCCAGGGTAAGTTTCAAGAAGCAAATTGGAGCTTACACGGGACTAATGACTCTTCCCACTTCTCATGGAACATGATTAGGTGCCTGAGCATGATCCTCCATATCTGGAATATTCATTTTTCTTCACTCTTAGCAAGTTAACAGAGGCAGGGGAGCAATATGAGGTGAATGTACTGCTAATTGGGTTGGTGTGGTAGTGTTGGATGCCTTCCATGGGCAAAGCACAGGTTTACTTTAAATAGGAATTTGTATTTTTATTTTAAAGAATACATAAACCCAATATGTCATATTACTGATATGTGCCTGCTGTACCATGTACATTTATGGAAAAAGTATCCTGTTCTCTTTGTATTGCTTCCTTTGTGTGAAATACCTGGTGTTCCTGCCAATCCTTTTGTTTTCCTATTAAAAACTGACCACACTAGGCAGGAGAGCACAGCATAGTCCGTTCTCTAGCTGTGCTGAGAACCCAGCCTGCTCTCATCCAATGATCAGACTTTTGCTGACACACCCCCTGCCCAACTATTCACTGGGAAGATCAGTATTCTGCTGTTTCTCCTCCTCCACCTCTTATGCAGCTGAGAACAGAGTACATGCGATCAATTATAAAAAAGGGGAAAATATATTTATAACGACTTTTATATCTATACACAAATGTTTTGCCTTTTATTTCTATTGTTAACTGAATAGGTTGTTTTACAAGGAGAGGGTTTACATATACTTTAATGTTTGTTAAAGGAAAACTATGGTTTAAATGTGTGCTAGAAGTGATGGCTTGTAAACACTTTTTGTAGTAAGAAGGTAATACTCTACATGACTTGCACTACCAATGAATATAAGTAATAAACTACATTTGACCCTATCAGGTGAAAAGCATTTGGTCTGACAGCCATATATTTGGCAAGAAAAAAGTCATAATCCAATGAAGTACACAAGAGACAAGCAATATAAGAACGTTGATCTTTTTTTTTTTTTTAAATAATATTGTGGTCTTATTTCTCTTGTAAAATCCAATACTACAAATCTAAAACAAGTTTTTTCAGCTGTTTTTTTTAACACTAAGTCTAAAATAATAAGACAGGAAAAAAATAAAGAGAAAACATTGGGAACAAGATTCTTGAAGAAAAACATGGCTGATGACGACAGAGGGATATATTTTTCAGATTCTATAAAAATGCAAAGGGGGTGCTGGCTTGTTACATGAAGGGAAGGGATTCATAATGAGACTTGTTTAGCCCAAACATACCTCTTCAACCATGGGAAAATAAAATCAAAAGCTGTCCTTAAACCACAAAACTTCAAACATTGTTCACACCTTCTTATAATTCTTAACAATAAAACATCAGCTCTTGGTCTTCTGATCCTCTTGTTACGGGTTTCCAACCATCCCTGTCTGTAAGCTGTTCCAGCCAAGGTCGGCTTTCCTTCTACTTTGTATCAAGCTTGGCCATTTCCTGTACGTAGATACCAATACTTTCACTGTCAAACAACAGGAAGTAAATATTCTTCACAGTGGATGAGCTGGAGGAGCCAAAGTGGCTGGAGATGGCTCGCAAAATGACTTGAGCCGCTGTCTGCTTTGGAAAACCATTTCTGGGCACAGAAAACAGAATAAATAGTTAAAATATAGCAATAATTTTTATTCTGTGTTGTCTTCAAAACCCAACAAGGCGAACAAAAACTAGGTAACAAAAAATATTAAAATGGTTCTTTACCATAACACATTCTCTTTTCCAGTGAGGACCCCCTGCCCCCATTATACTTACCTAAACCTGATTTCAACCCAGTGCTGTGCACAAGCGTAGCGGCTATCTCCAATCTCTCCCCCGATGAAGCCACGTGACCCGGTGGCGTAACGTGTAGGGGAGGGGCTCTGAAGTCATGACACATTCTCGTATCCACGGCGAGTATAGGCAGTGTGCAGGGCACACAGAGAGGAGCTGACATATAATATATATAAAATGTGAGTTGTATGGCAATATATTCCATAATAAAGATATATAAAGGATAAGGCACTATATTCTTTTCTCTTTTTTGGCAAATTAAAATGGAGTAATAAAGAGAAGAGGATAAGGAAGGTATAGACCCCTGCAGGAGAGTGAGAGAAATCCATCCATCATCCACATTTGTGGAAATTTTTTTATTATTTTTCACTATAATTAATTTTCCCTTGGTACTGATGATATATATACAGTATTTTATTTAACATTACAACTATTAGATTGATTTTTGGACACATGAGTTATAGACTGTTTTTCAATTATTAGATTTATTATGTGTATTGATAGAGTGGAGTGCGGCACATATTTATTATTTTAAATCTCTAATCTCTCCCTCCTCAAAGGGCAGATTGATAGCAGCGGGAGCCATTGGCTCCTGCTGCAGTAAATTAAATCCGGTGACGAGGGGTCAGGGCAAGGCTCGGCTATCTGTATCTATGGATGCAGACAGCGGGGTTCAGGAGTGGGCCCACATGAGTACCCCCCCTTAGCAAGTGGTGTGGAGGTTTAGAATCACTTTTAATACTTCTTCCCATTCCCCTGTATACCTTTAATGGACCAGAGCAATTATTACAATTCTGTTATCCGCCTTTTAATTAAAATAATATTGTACCTGAACACAAAGAGCCCTAAATACATGATACATGTACCACTCAATATAGCATTCAGCATCATCCAACCACATAGACTTGACAGGCTGCCTGCAGTTGGGCTGGACCCTTCACATGTCCCTCTCTGGAGCAATAGAAGACTGGGAGGGTTGCACTGCTCCTAGATGGCCCCGTATGCAAAGGTTCTAAGCTAAAGGGACACTGAAACCCTTCTTGAGAGTATACCATATTAATTTTGAGAGTGTATAACCTCAATCACATAGGCGCTGAATGTGTAGGCCTGAATGGGCAACTTGCTGTGTGTAGGCAGCCCATGTAATCGTTTGGGAGCAAAGTGGCTACACGGGCACAGCTGCTCATCCAAATTTGACAGGTGTGCAGCTGAGTTGTAAAAAATGTACACGGTCTGCATACGGGGCTGTTGCATTCATGGAGCCTCTGCCTTCCTATACGCAGCAACTGGTGGCTCAAGCCATATAAACAAAGAGGCCGTTCACAGTCTATGGGCTTCAGCACCTGTGTGAATGAGGCTTATAACGTCACATTAAAAGTTGCTATGGGGTAAAGCTCTTTCATGGTTTGTTAAAGCGGAGCTTCACCCAAAATGATAAGTTTCATTTTAAGCCTTTGTCCCCGGCTCCCTATTAAGGATTGGCATCTTTGCCAAATTTGACAGGTACCCACTTCCGCTGCAATCGCCTAAAAGCGGATGTCATCCTCCCTCCCTCCCCGTAGTCTTCTGGGGCACGCGACAGGTCCCAGAAGACTACGGGGCCATTTACGAAGCGTAGCTCTTCTCACGCATGCGCAATGGGCACCTGGCTGTGAAGCCGCAAGCTGTCACAGCCGGGTGCCCACATGGAAGATGCCGGCGGCACGGAGAGAGAAGACGCCCGGTGAAACCAGCCATGGTGAGGACACCGCTGGACCAAGGGACAGGTAAGTGGCTGTATTTTAAAAGTCAGCAGCTACAGTTTTTGTAGCTGCTGACCTTTTTTTTTTCTTCAGGTGGAACTCCGCTTTAAGAATATGAATTTTAGGTTTGACTTTTACAGGGAAAGTAGAAATTTGCCCATAACCTTAGTAGTTGGTATTTTTGGATCCACTGGTCATTTTGACATAGTTTTGCTTATCAGCTTATGCATTTTTTTCATCATATGTTCAGTTTGAATTTCCCAGGTTTATGTCAGGGATACTTGACCCAGGCATTATCCAAAATGTGTATTTCTTCTTACTAGGTATATAGTCCAGCTCCTGGTGACTAGTGTAACACTCAACTCATATCTGTCAGATCACGTTTTCAGCCAATATTTTATTCACCATTTTCCTTCACTATAAGGTTTATGATCGTTCACAAATAAAAAGTGTGTGTCCTATACAACGACTAAATTCTTGTAGAAAAGCAATATAGGAAATAACTGCTGTTACAGTCATGCTATTGCCATCAGTCAGACATAATGAAGGTCTCTGAGCTCTCTTACTGAAGCTTGTAGTTAACATACCTGCCACTAGGGAAAGATGGAAATGCCACGGACTTGAGTTTCTTATCCTCGGCGACAGATAAACAGTTTTTGATGGTCTTTTCCAACTGCTCTTCACATTTGTCTGATCCCCACTGAGGAATGTGGCAGTGGATAACAAATTTGGCTGCTAATCCATTTGCTTGACTAAGAGCAGCTAACAAGAAAAAGAAAAAAACATATGACAGCTGCTCCAGGCAAGCACAAAACCATATTTTCTGCAAATGTGTATAGCTCTGCCATTGGGTTATACCCGGTCTTCGACCCTGTATGTGCAGGTCATGAGCTTCTTATGGTATACATTGTAGTTACACCATTACATACTGTATGTCCTTAAAGCTGAACTCTGTGCAGCTATAAAAATGCACAAATTAATGCAGCTCTGTATTTATTATTATTATTATTATTATTATAATACAGGATTTATATAGCGCCAACAGTTTGCTCAGCGCTTTACAATACAAAGGGAGACAATACAGCAACAATACAGTTCAATACAAGAGGGTTAGAAGGGCCTGATCCTGGGAGCTTACAATATTTATTAAAGAATCCCTAAATGTATTTTTAATTGTAAGCAATGTAAGTATTTGAATTTAACTTGGTTTCAGCCTCTTGCAGTCCCTGTACAGCAGAACTTCAACTGGGATTGGGGGAAGCAGCACAGGGAGTCAATGTGTTGTAGTGCAGTGCAAGAAGTATGCTGATAGGATGAGAGAGCTGGCAAAGATTAGCCCACCAGACAGCTTCTTCTCCTTTTACTGTCCAGGCACAGGTTGGGGAGGGATTTGTACATGTTACCGAATACGTGTAGAGAAAGGTCAAGTCTTCTCCCCTGGCAGAGCTGTGTAAAGCTCAGAAACTGGATGGATGGAAATACTAATCGTTTGGAAGTTAAAACAGCTCCTATGTATATGTATTTCATCTGTGCATGTAGCTGTGTGCTTGGTTTTTAGCTTTAAAGTACAACTGCAATGGGAGAAATGCATATATTGCCATTGCTGGCCTTTTTTCTGAGGATAATGCTTGGCTGTGTTTGGACGGGATATTTCTGAGTCAATGAAACATGCAGTAAATGAAAGGTATTCGGAATTTTCATTTATTGCATGTTTCAGTGACTCAGAACTATTTATACAGATAAAGCTATTTATTTCTATTTTTGTTCAAGGTCAGCAGTATAGAGGTCCGGAGACAAAAAACATCAGCATGACAGCCAGCTAATGAGCATTTCTATACAGAATTCTTCCACGACTGGTTGTCTTTAAAGCTGAATTACTGAACTCCAGGTAAAATGGTCTTTAAAGTCTAGGGGACCAGGAAAAACAGCTTTAGTTCCCTGATCCTGCGATTCCGTGGGCTCCTCCAGGCTGCAGGTCTGGACTCTGGAGCCTATCTTCCCTATGCTCTTGAGGTCAGATGCCCTCTTAAGTCATCAAGACAGATACAGAGCCCTGCTTTGGACAAGAGCAATCCAAGGATCAGGCCACCAGAGTGGAGAAGCATCTGCTGGGAGAATGAAGGATTGAGAGTAAAACTGCATTTCCCGTCCTCTAGACCTAAATGAGCATTATCCTTGCAGTGTGGGGGCAGCCCCACTGCAAGAAGGGGTGTTTACTTTTCCTGGAGTGAGGGTTTAACTTACACCTTGACAGGTCCCCTAGTTGCCTGAGATAAGAGAAGACACAGACTATAGATAATATAGAACTTAAAAGAGGTATTCATTCCAAAACCAAAAATATTACAGCTTACCACTCATTAGATGTGGTGGCTATATTAGTTTTCTTTTTTTAGGTTTTTTTCCCTCCTGTGTTCACCTTGTGATCTGGCCAGCAACACACCTCCTGCATTAAAGTGCCTCCACTCTGGATGATGCGGCAACAGAAGCACCTTTGGGTAGCAGCATTGTAAGGGGGGAGTATCAGACTAGTATTAGCAGATTAAGATACACTAACAAATTAGGTCAAAAAGTTGTTTAAATAAAATCTATGCACAAGAGGATTATATACACAAAATCCAAAAAATAAAAAACAAGCTTTGTAAGGAGCCCTGGTAGTTGAACTGTTGGGATGTGCCCAGTAATCCAACTATTTTACCCAAGGCTTGTAACTGTGGCTTATGCAGTACATTACTGTACCTCCAGTCAACTCCAAGGGTCCATGAGATTTGCGGAGTTCTTTCACAGCTTCCAAGAACTCTTTTCCTCCCGCCTTTTCCATGGCATTCCCTACAATAAAGTAAACCATAGATTTTTATTACATCTCGGGAACAAGATTGTAGTTTAGTCAAATTAATGGAGATTGCACTATGTCACATTCAGAATACGAATCAGCTGAAATGATTCAACATAAAGGCGAGCTCCAGGCAGTGCAATCATTACATAGAAGTGTAAAATGTATAATTCATGAAGACCCCACCTCTCATTGAACTGCCATAGGTTAGTTCCTCAAAGGACAAAATGGAGTGATAATTCTAAATATGATTTATTATTAATTGGTTTCTATATTTACATCTCAGTCACTTTCATTCATTTTAATATATACGTTTACATATAAAAGCTCTGTGGTATGAACTTTATGACATTACTCTGCTCACGCTTTTCTTTTATTTAAACTGAATTTAAAATTACAAATAAACACTTCATTGAACTTTACACACTGCAGAGCTTTGTGATTCACTGTGGTGTGTTGCACTGCAGACATGTTCCATTTTTATGCAACACACATACATGGTGTGAACAGGACACAGAGAACAATTGATTTTTTTTTTCCAATTACATTGAGTCTGCACTGATCTATGCATATCAATTCACCTGGTGTGATTGAGCCCCTAATCTGCTTTCTTTCAGAGTTTTAATTGTTATTAGTGGTGACTATGTAGCATACCTATTGATAAATTTAGCCTTGAATTTAACACGGGAAAACTTGATAAGGAAATAAATTCACTGAATATATTTACTTGTTTTCGAAGGGCATAATGCCCACATACCTGTAGACGCCACTAAGGCCTTAAGGTGGCAAATTGCAGTACTGGTAGTTCTACTCCCCCACCTCGCTGGGTTCCTTTTCCGCCTAGCACTGTCTGAACTCCACCATGGACGCCCTCCCTCTTGTCCTTAAATGACCCCAAATAATGCATGGGTCAAGTTAGGGGTTGTATCATTGATGAGCGGCTATGTCACCATGCCAAGTGCCTAAATGACTGTTTTAAAGTGTGTGTTTATGGGGGAGAGATCACTCTATTATTCACTGCATCATTTAAATACACAACAATTTCTAATAAAACAAGGCCTTCAGTGAATATTCTATTTTTGGATGTACATTACTGCATTCTTTTTCAACTAATTAATGACATCAACAGGGGTTAGTGCCATGGGAATATACAGTATGTCAGGGGAATACCAAATTGGTTAAGTGGTTCCTGTTATGCTGCAAGACGTCTGTTATGGTAATCCTATATCAACTAAAAAAGTCTCTGTCTGTCACCTTAAAACAGAGGGTCACCATGCTCATGAAGTGTTGGTGTGACTTTTTTGCTACTATGAGACTTCAGTAGATCCTCCTTCAGAATCTATCTCTTGGTGTGCTGGCTTTCTCTTCATTGTTGGACTTTACATAGTACCATCATAAAGTTGTGCCCTCGCCCTTAACAAGTGTTACCTATGGCCTTCTGTACAGTATGGTTTGATGTATTATAGTTCATTTAACATTCCTGTCCTCTGTTAATAGCAGGGTGGATTTGATTTAAATCAAACTGATTTAAATCACAATTTAAATCACGATTTAAATCACTAGTCAGTAAGGCTTGATTTAAATCATAGTTTTCTACATAAAGACTAATTCTTGCTGGTATAACTTTAATATGCAAGTAGATGAAGATTTTTAGAATAACTTTTCATATTAGTTTTTTTATCCCCAGTTTAATAGATTAATCATTCATATTTGGACAACTTTTCTGTTGTACTTAAGAAGGAGAAAAATAATCATTACCTTCATAATAACAATTTAAATAGATTTATTCAACTGAAACAATAACATTACAGCATATGTTATTTGCTTAAACAAACATCCATGTCTGTTAACTAATTTGGCTAAACAAAATATGTATATTTTAAGAAACTTAGACTGTCAGCCCCTTCCTCCTCACACTTCGTTTCACTTTCTTCTTGTGCAGATCTATTCCACTCCAAACAATCAGAAAAATATTGTTTCTATTCTATTCACTGAAATTCTTGAAACTTAGCACTGAAGGGGTTGATTCTGTATTCATAGGTTTGTAGAAGTTAGGATGAAGGTATTTTTCTTAACTCTGTTCATGTTATAACATTTTTGCTGTGAAGAAGAGGCATGTGATCTCCGCTGAGTCAAATTCAGTTTTGAGAACTGCAAAAGTAAACCAAGCATCTGTGATAATATCTTGTAGGCAGAGAAACTGCCCAATAATCTTACAAAAACCTCTGGAAGAGCATGACATTGTGAATGGATTAATGGAATTTATTTACCAAAAAAATAAACATATACAGCCTTATTCTACATAATTAAAAAACTAATCTTTATTTCATGATGGAATAACCTTTGGATGGTAATATATTTTCCTCAAAAAGCATTTTATTTAAAAAAATCTGATTTAAATAAAAAAAATCCGATTTAAATAAAAAAAATCAGATTTTTTTGATTTCTGTAAAAAAATCATTGATTTTTATCCACCCTGGTTAATAGTATAGGGAAACATCAGTACTCTCTATAGCAGCTCAATAGTCCCATGTCAGGACTCTTAACATATAAACCCACTGGTAACAAGTCAGCACTCATATCACTTTTAAGTACCACTGGTGCCCTAAATACAGGGGGCTCTGGTATGTCACTATGTACTAGCTCACCCTCCTCAGCCTAAGACTGCATTACAGTGATGACCCAACAGAGCAGCAATGGACGAGGTTGGGGATTGGGCCAAGCTCTTGACCAGCAGAGCTGGTGCTTCTTAGCTAAGATGAATTACATCCTAAAATGATAGCAATCACATTTAAGGTACTTTAAAGTGCATGTCTAATGTCTAGTGAAATAAGTAAAATATTTTTGGTAGGTCTCTGCAATATTTGCACACTTTCCCATATTTTATTCCTTTAACTGCTTTCCTGCCACCCTACAGCAGAAATACTGCTACAGCACAGCAGGGGTGTGCGAAAGCACGTATATATATGTGATTTTGCATTTACCTGTTAGAGGGTGCGCGCGCCCTACCTGCGCCACCATTGGCGGCCTCACCTGTCGATCACTGGGTCCCGGCCTTTGATTCCCCGCCGGCACCCGGCGATTACCGTGTATCACCGAGGGGGGGGAGAGACCTGCATGTAAACAGCACAGATCTCTCCCATGGCAGCTCCTGCACACTGCTTTGTATGACTCTGCACAGCAGAGCCATACAAAGCAAAGTGCTTACAGTGTAAAGCACACACACACAGCACACAGTAAAACAGCACACAGTTAACCCTGTGATCGCCCCAGATGTTAACCCCTTCCTGCCTAATGTCATCAGTACAATGTCAGTGCTTTTTATTAGCACTGATCACTGTATTAGCATCACTGGGGATGTCAGTGGCAGTTAGTCAGTCCCCCCCCCCAGCGTCAGAATGCCCACCGCAGTCCCGCTATAAGTCGCTGATTTCCACTATTACTAGTATAGAAAAAAAAAATTCCAGTATCTATACCGCCATTTGTAAATGCTATAACTTTTACAGAAACCAATTAATTTACATGTATTGGGATTTTTTTTTAGCAAAGACATGTAGCAGAATACATATTGGCCTAAATTTATGACGAAATTTGATTTTTACATTTTTTTTACTGGACATGTTTAATAGCAAAAAGTAAAAAATATAGTTTTTTTTCTCAAAATTGGCGGTCTTTATTTCTTCATAGCACAAAAACTAAAAACCGCTGAGGCGATGAACTACCACTGAAAGAAAGCTCTATCTGTGGTAAAAAAATGACAAAAATTTAATTTGGGTGCAGCTTTGCACGACCGCGCAATTGTTAGTTAAAGTAGCGCAGTGCCGAATCGCAAACAATGGCCTGGTCAGGAAGTGGGGTAAATCCTTTGGAGGGCAAGTGGTTAAAAATGCTCAAAGTACAGACAAATACCTATTGATCTCCCAGATATCCAGTGAGCTTCTAACTTCCTGTTTGGGCTGTTGGACTCGGTCTATCCTCGACCCCTCTCCCACTACACACTTATCCATTGAGTTCTTTCACAGCAAAACAATGCTGCTATCTTGACTACTAAGGGCCCACCCTCACACTACGTGTAGGCAAAGGTCTCTCAGGGGATGTAGTTCTGGGTGTCAGTCTACATCAGTGTTTCTCAAGCTTTTTCAGCCAAGGCACCCTTTAAAATTATGCACAGGCTGGAAGCACCCCACTCTAAAATGCAAAAAATGAAACTAATAGTTTTTCATATCGCAGCAACATCCATACAGGGAAGACATCCAAATTTAGAGGTGATTTATTCTTCCAAAGCAAAAACACCTTTACACATAGACACTGACTAGTATTCCAATGTTTCTCTTCTCCCTCAGTTTCTCTCCTTCACTCAGCTAATGTGTCCCCAGTGCTGACATAGAGGGACAGGGTAGAGGCAAACAAAGATGCTGTGTAAGCACCCAACATCCTCCTTATCAACCAACCATGCTATTGGTTGTTAGGGTGCCAGCGGCTAGAAGGTTGTAATGGTGCACAATGAAAGCCTATGGCTTTATGTAATTAAAAGGTAAGCTTGATCCACCTTCTGGACTGTATACAATGTTTGAACAAATTGTAGGCATTTTTCCAAGGCACCCCTTAAGGAACAATAGGCTTAAGTATGCAGAGGTTCATGGGGAGTCAACAGAACATCCAGACACATAGACATGTAATCTGTTTTTTAACCTGTAGTAAGATTTCCTATCCATACCTAGCATCTTCAGGCACTTCTTGAACTGGATGTAACCTAATAAAATGACACTGTAACCGAATCTATGCACATCAGTAGAAAACTCACCTATATCCTCCTTTAGGTCAATTTCAGCTGTAGTTGGATGGATAATGCCTTCAACTTTCATTGATCCTATATGACTAAGATCACTCTGAGTCAAAGACAGCTGTATGAGAAACATAGAAAAGGAAGATAAATGTCATTTAATCCCATCTAGTAGCTCTTGTCTCTGAACATATATTTTCATCTTTGTTTTCTGATAAATATCTCCCGTCACAGACATTGCTAGAGAACATCAGTAGTAGGCAGAAAGGACAAAGTCTAAGCATGGCTTCATCTATTAGTGACTGTGAAAGAGTCACAAATTCCCAATGACACTTGTATAAAAGCACATCGTGCTTCAAAATCTGTCCACATCACAAAATACTGCCCAATTCATGGGGGAAATTTGAGGATGGTTGCTGTGTACATTTGTTACAGGGTTTCTGAGAAGAGTAGACATCAGCACTCATCAAGCAGGCAACTGAGTATAGGGAAACTGACAGCACAGAAATATGAAAGCTGCCATTGCTGACTTGTTTTTAAAGCCTAGGTTTTAAAAAAATCAGCACAAGCGATGGCACTTAGATTTAATCTGAAGTGTCCCTTGTGCTGGTACCAGATGTCATGTTGGAAAACTCTATCCTCTGCCCTCCTACCCTGCAGCCATAATCTTTTGATGCTGTGGGGGTTAATAGAGCTGAGGACCTGTCACAGACACTGTTTAAGATTGCCTACCATGCCCACCCTTTTTGCCCTCCTCCTGCATTGATAGAAGATGTGTTATAGCTTCCATGAATGAAAAGCACTGTGAATGGAGGACAGATGGATGAATGAAATGTCCACCTGATCCATTCATACAATGCTTTCCTTTACTATTTACGATTCCATTCATTTGTTTTATGACTGCTTGACAGAACACAAAGCATTCTGTGAATGGACAAGAGGAAAGGAGGGAGGAATAAAACAACAGTATGGCTTCTGTGTATGAGAGCCGCAGCTCTCATAGTTACAGTGCAGAAAGTATAGCGAAAGCAAAAATGAACAAATGTGCAGAGTTTTTGGAAATAAAAACAAAAAGTGATGTCCAGCCCTCCTGGAAGTAATTGACTGGGGATGATAAAATAAATACAGCACTGGTGCTAGCTACAATAGATGTAGTAATTGGGTCTACGCTCCCTGCCCATCTCAGCACAGATTTATTTAATGCAGGTATTAATATGGTGCTGACAATTTACATAGCACTTTACATGTATATTGTACATCCACATCTTTCCCTGTTCACAAAGAGCTTACACTCTAAGGGCTCCACCTCACATGCCTACATATACATACCAGGCCTGTAGAGAGGATTAGTGGCTACCACATCTGCCTTGCAGCACTTGTGTCAGTGATTCAAATCCCCACCATGAGGGTTGTTTCTTTAAATAATTCTGAACCTTTGTTGTATTGTTGTTTATCCCCCTCCTTTCCAATTTCCTTTAAGGGCTTTTAAATGCTTGGAGGTGGGCACTTGGGTCATGTGACCGCTGTAATTGGCTGTCACAGCCGTCACATGATTGCAAAGCTCCTGTATTGCTAATATGCTTCAGCCTTTGTGACCAAGTCCCAGTGGGCGGATCGAAATGCATTAGTAGACATGGCCAGAACAGCAGCTGAGGCCATTCCTTTACATTGGACTCCTGGGGTCGGTTGAACAGCATCCATCCCTTCACTAGTATGCATCAGGAGCTTTCCGGTCCCGTTATGTCTGTGCTTTGCTCTCAGCATAGAAAGTTTTTTTTACATAAGGCCACATATATGCAGTCTCTCGGTGTATATGCGCCATGTTGCTGGAAAGAAGTTAAAGTGGAGCTCCACCCAAAAGGCGAAGTTCCGCTTTAAGGACTGCTCCCCATTAAGGACTGGTACCTTTGGGGGGTGGAGCAGGTACCCGAATTTGACAGGTGCCCGCTCCCACTTCCGGTCCGATCGCCTAGGCGATCAGAAATGGAAGGTGTCCTCCCTCACTGTAGTCTTTTGGTTTGGGACAGGTCCCAGAAGACTACAGGATCATTCATGAACAGCAGTGCTACTCGCGCATGCGCCGTGGGTACCCGACTGTGAAGCCGCAAGCTATCACAGCCGGGTGCCCACACTGAAGATGCCGGCCTCCTTGAATACAGGACGGCTGGTGAAACTGGCTGCGGGGGACACACCACGGGACCGAGGGACAGGTAAGTGGCTGTTTTTTTTAAAAGTCAGCAGCTACAGTTTTTGTAGCTGCTGACTTTTATTTTTTGACAGGGTGAGTGGAACTTCGCTTTAATGTACAATGCTGTGTAAAATTGTCTGTGCTATTCATATATTTACTTTATATACAGGTAATCTAAAAATAGGACTAATTTAGACAGGAGTAACCTATTAGCATGTGCTTGGAGGAAACACACCCAAGAACAACATGCAAACTCTATGTAGCATCCTGCTTAGGTTTCAAACCACTGACTCTAGCGCTGCAAGGCTGAAATGCTAGTCGCTAAACCATTGTGCTGCTACAATCACAGTACGGGTAAGGATTGCAAGAGGGATTGCTTGGTGCATTCAGAATGTCATCAGTGGGGGTATCCCCTAGTTTCATACAGCTGCTGCAAATCTAAATGATGGCAGGATTCTTAACAACATCATATAAGCAATTGCTTTCAGAATTCAGCTTCAAGAGAGGGACACCTTCATAGTTTTTTAGAAACATACTTTTTCAAGGAAATGTATTTGTTGTAATCCTCCATAAATATCCAAATAGCCTACCCAAAGACTGTCAATTAATTTGTGAATTTAGCTTGACTACGTTTTTAAACTCAAAGTCTAAATAAAATACCTCCCCGACTGTCTACTGCCAGAACAGCTAAGCTAAGCCACTCTCACGAGGAATCATCTACTGACGTCCATCCAGAATCCACAATTTAGGGAACTGTTGATCTCCTGGTACCCCTCTGCACTTGGGGATTGCTCCACCCCAGCGATTTGGGGTTGGCAGGAAGAACTACTGAGCCCCATGTGGGACCTGAAGATTACCACCCTGGAAGTGTCAGGCCCAGACAAGAGGTACGTATTTACTTTTGTCTTTACAAGGACATTTTTTACTTACATTTTCATTTTAGCAACAGAGCTGCTTGAAATGCCACAAAAGCACTTTATGTGCAATGGAAAAAGGTGTGCTGAATACCAGAAATTACAGAAAAATCTAGACAAGATTAGCAGTGACAACAGAACAGGTTTAGTAGTCTCTTCTTATTTCAGATATAATAATCATAATCACCTTCTGTCCCAGCAACAGGCTCTTTGATGAGAGGATGGTGAAGCCATCGCCAGGTCCATCATCTGACATTGAACTTGATGCACCTTCTTTTCCGTCTGCTTGTTTATCCTTGTAAAAAGCACAAACGAGCCACTTTTATTTCAAAGAAATATCCATAATTCATCAAGTTGCATTGTTTTATCTACTGTGATACCATTAAGAGATAGTTGTGTATGGAAAATATCAAACAATTATCCATCCACATTCATCTGATTGAATAGGAAACACAGTATATTTCTAAAAAATATGATATACATGTAAGGTTGCGAAGGTAATAAAGGCATTATCATCAAAAGGTTAGTATTTATATCAGAGTAGCCGCTGGTAACTTAAAGCGGAGTTCCACTTAAAAGCAGAAGTTCCGCTTATTTACCTCCTCCCTCTTGCCACTGCCATATTTGGCACATTTTGGGGGGAGGGTGGGAGCGGGTACCTGGTTTTGACAGGTACCCACTCCAACATCCCGTGAGCTGGAATTTTAGCTCCTCCTTGCTCCCGCAGTCTCTTGGGAACTTTCACAGGTCCCAGGAGGCTGCCGGACCAATCAGGAGGGAGCGGCGTGATTCGTGCACCAGGCTGTGAAGCCGCAAACCAGGAACTTCGATCCATGTATGGGCAGGCTGGTTGTACTGTAGTCAATCTATGGATCAACTTCAGTACGACAGGCCGGATGGGTTTATTCGTTTGATCACTTCAGGTGGCTATAGCTGCAAGTAATGATCATTGTATTTTGACAGCTGGGAAACCTCCAGCTGTCTGAATGTAATAGTTCGTGGGAGGGATTCCCCCATCAACACTACATGTGCTGATGGGAGAATTGAGTAATTTTCTTTCCTTCAGCCATAGGTTGAAGGACAGAAAATTGGTTAAGGTATGGCCTGCCTAATCTGAGATCAGCCATGGCTGTACTTCAGCCTCCTCAACACAGATGCTCCACTCACAGACCAGAGCTTTGGGCAGAGAAGGAGAGCACTGAAGGCAGCAGGAGTGTGAAGACAGATAAATGATAGAGCCTGAACTGTACCCCACCCTGGAAGTATTGACCATTTAACCCTTGCAGTTCACTGGTCCTACTGCAACGATGAATTCTGATATTCCTGGAGTTGGGCTTAAATCCATTTTGCAATAATACCTACGTGCATATTTAATTTATGTTCAGAAAACCTCAAAGCAAGACTCTGGGAAAAAAGTATGGACAGCAGTTTAAGTCAATCAAGCTCTACTGAACTGCGCCATGCTGTCAGTCTAACACTGGAACTTGCTGACAGGAGGAAGGAGCACAGTATCTAGTCACAGGTTGGGTCAGGATTTTTGACAAAGCTTTAATGCTTTAACTGTAGTGGAGAAAAGTGCGGTCATGGATTTGGCTGATTTGTGCGGCAGGAGCAAATAAATCCTTTGGAAAGAAAAGGTGGTATTCACGCATGTATTTATGTATGTAGCTGCTTGCTTACAAAATCTGATCTTTACCACAGTTAGGTGTCTCTATAAATACAATTTATCAGACGTTTTTAAGGAAATAGTAAAGGACTATACAGTATAATAGAAGGTGCAGCATACATATACAAGTACATTGTTTAGTGTGAGTTTTATAGTTGTTGAGAATCAATTTTTTGACAAGCTCATAGAGAAGTAACTACCAATACTAAATACTAATTGGAGTATAACATTCTTCACTGTTAACGCACAAATGACACACTGCAGAATTTAGAGAAAAACAGTGCTGCAAAACTACAGTATTACTTTTTTTCAACAGATAGTACTTATTTTTTTTGTTCTAACCTTTTTCAGTAGCTTTTTTCCCGATTTTGGTTTCTTTGCAATTTTATCCAGTGATTTGCCACTCTTCTTCTTTTTCTTCTCCACTGGTTGAGAGAGAATGGTCTCCTTGCCACGGGAGCCACGCTTTTTAGCCAGAAGCTCCGGGTGGATTCTTGGCAGGACACCTCCACTTGCAATGGTGACTCCTCTGAGTAACTGGAATTAAGGACAAAGTAAGATAAATACTGTAGAGAGATTTTCAGCTGCACCTAGGTCTTTTTTGGATCTGATGGGCTCACACATTTCTGCATTATAGGCTTTCTGGAAGGAAGGCAAAAGAAGCTTTGGAACTTGTTCACCCAAATGCACATTCAGCAATACCAATACAGGAGTAGGAAGCCACTTGTACCTTCTGTAACGAAATACAGCTATGGCTACTGTATATACTACTTTAGCATGATCTTTATATTTACAATGCAAGTGTTACTGCACAGAAAGCAATATATCTCTAGCCAATTGAATTATACTATTGGTTTTCTTTTATAGGTTATTAATTATTATGCAAGCTTCCTGTTGACACAAAAATGCTGTAAAATAGACAACAGAGTTTATCTTCTACACCAGGGTGTCACACTCAATGTCATCTGGGGCGGCATCAGTATTATGGTTGTCCTCATAGGGCCGGTAGTATCTGTAAGACTATATAAATTATCCAGGGCTTTTTTTCCCCTCACAAAATAGATGCAGGAGCTCAACAATACACCCCCCTCCTCCCCCCGAACTGCACAGAATGGTAGGTGTGACCATATTGCAGTGGGAGGGTCTTTAAGGGGCAATAAATACCAGGAGTGTGTTATGTGCAGAGTTCAGGGATGTGCTATGTACAGACTGAAGAGTTCAGGGGTTCCCTATGCACAGAGTGCAGGGTTCATGGGCACACTATGTACAAAGTGCAGGGTTCAGTGGTGCCCTATATACGGAGTGCAGTTTCATGGGACCGCTATGCACAGAGTGCAGGTTTCATGAGAGCACTATGTACAGAGTGCAGGGTTCATGGGAGCACTATGTACAGAATGCAGGGTTCTGAGATGTGCTACGTACAGAGTTCAGGAGTGCACTGTGTACAGAGTACAGGAGTGTGCTGCATAGAGAGTGCAGGGTTTTAGAGGTGTGGTATGCATAGTATGTAGGGTTCAGCTCTCTTTCATAGGCTGTCTGCATCTCACTTCCACCTCTTCACAGCCCTGACCTCTGCACCATTCTCTACTATCCCCTATCTCTGCACACATCTCCCTCTCCACAGCCCTCATCTTTCCCTTCCATCCCGAAAAGCTTCTTTACATCTCACCTACCCAGCCCCCACCTCTAGTACCTCCGGGTTGTGAGTGCAGGGCAGACAGGGATCTGTGAGAGCTGCCGAGAGGAAACCTGTCCTTGTAAACACAGAAAGCCTCTCTGTTTACAAGTGACAGTTGTAAGCAGGGAGCAGAGGGCGAGAGCCAGAGGTGGCGGAACAGAGTTCTACCATGTTCCTGCTAAAAAAAAGCCCTGGGTGCGAGGGCAACATGAAAAGGCCTGGTGGGCCGGATTCGTACCGCAGGCCTTGTGTTTGACAAGTTTTTTATATTAACTGAACAAATATGCTGTTATGCTGTAAAAATAAAAATTAGACACATGTACAACATAAAAGGCTAAAGACTGCACACCAGTACCTGATTGAGTTCCTCATCATTAGCGACTGCTAAAAGGATGTGTCTTGGAGTGATTCTGCCTTTCTTGTTATCTCGAGCTGCATTCCCCCGCAAGTTCCAAGATTTCAGCTGTGAGTCAACAGAACAGCGTTACCAGCAAATCCAAAATCAGCACTAATAGTCAAACAAAATGAAGCAGTGTTTTATGTTACAGTGGATATTTTTATTCTGTCACTTTATGATTTATGTTCACAAAAATAAAAACTTTTTTTTTTTTGTAAGGTTTACCAGAATTAGGCATACTGAAAAATATTTACGATCTGTGTGGACGGCTTTGTTGGGTAAATGCAACGTGGATTTGAAATTAGTCTGAGATACTTCTGAGATCATTTAGGCCTCATTCACTTGGATGTAATTATCCATAGACCCGTGCGAAGGGTGTCTTCCCCCACATGGGATGCACAGGTGTCCTGTGTATCCCCATTCATGTCTATTGGGACACAGCACCTGCACGGGTCGCAATTTTTAGGAGGTTTTTCTTATCAACTGCTGAACTAGTGCGGATTGTTCACAGCACAGAGTTTAAACTTTCAATATGAGTTCTTGCCAATGGATACTGTTCTTTTAAAGCCCCGATGATGGGAACAATGTGCATTCCCTTAAACCCATTGACTGTAGCACTTGTCATATTCCTGGAATAAAACCTCATTCCATTTTCTAAACCTGGGCACGGTGCTTCAATTTTCACACTCAGCCTGGGTTCAAACTGATGTGGTGTGGAATTCGCAGCGTTTTCTGTGCAAATTCCGCACCACGTCAGAATCGCACCCCGTTCATGCGAACCGCTGCGGGTGTGTATGTTAAGTTAACAACACCCCAAAATCGGTCCGTATAATGCGGTGCGATGTGCAGAATTGGATCGCATAGGTGTGAATACTCATGCGATCCGATTCTAGTGCGGACCAAAAAATGGGTCCTGCACCTTTTTGGTGCGGGTGCGGTGTGATTAGAGCCATACAAAATGTATGACTCCAAACGCACCGCACACAATTCGCATGTGATTTGCACAGGAATGCAGTGCGGTCCCTGTGCGAATCACATGCGATGTACTGAACCGCATATACGTTTTTGCGCGAGCACGAAAGCCCATTCATTTGAATGGACTCCCATGCCCCTGGACACGTAGGGAAGAAGTCCCTGCACTTCTGAAAATGCAGCCCGCACAGAAACCTCAGTTCCCAGTACGGTTGCGATTTCCAGTGCGGGCAGCGTGCCATTAGAATTAATAGCACCCGCCCACGGGTCCGCAAGACCTAGTTGTATTACTTAAGGCTTCGTTCACACCAATGCATATTGTTAGTGCTTTTTGAAGAAACGCACTACAGTCCATTCAACATGATTTCCTATGGAACATGTTCACATCTATGCTTTTTTGAGCTGCTGTGTTTTTGGAAAGGGTCAGGGACTTTTTAAAAGCAAAAAGCAGTGTTTTTGCTACAATGGAGTTCAATTGAGAACCTTGTGAAATGCATGGTAGTGCGTTTTTGCCACGTTTTACATTTTTGTTCTGCCCACAAAAAAAAATTCCACTTAAAAAAAAGAGCTGAACAAAATGCATTACGCGACAAAATCGTGTGTAGAAAAACGCAAAACAAACTGCGAAAAGTACTGCAAAACTAACAAAAAGCAGACTGCATAGGTGTAAATGGAGCCTAAGTGCAGTAAAAAAAAAAAGTCAGGTATCCAGGCTCGTTCTATAGTTTCTCACGGCTGCGAAAATCCCAGGGCTGAATGGATAGAAAAAAAAAAAAATAATCATCTGAGAGGTAAAGCAGCTTTCACGTATGTAGTTTATCTGTGTATTTAGCTTTTTGTCTGGAGTTCAGCTTTAAAATCCAAATTTAGTTTAAATCAGCTAAGCGTATCAAAACAAAAAGGTGCTCAACATTCTAGTTTGTTTTCTTTCTAAAGCAGCTACAGCCTGAGAAGCTGGAAAGGACGCTTGCTGTTTGTGTAGAAGCAGTAATCTCTCTGCAGAGGTCTGACTTGTACCTAGAGCAATCAGTGGGAAGCATGAGCTGTGCGCATTTCAGAGCTAGGTTTCACTCAGTAGGGTGTGTCGGACCTCTCCAGGGAGACCACTGCTTCCCCACAGAAAGCAAAGATCCCACCCTAGCTGTTTTCCTAGAAAAAAAAATAATTTGTAAGAAATTGAGCACCTTTTTGTTTTGAGGCACATGAAATAAAATTAAAGGTTTAATTGGGCTTTAATTAAGAGGTCAATAAATATATGTACATTTTTTTATTACCTAATTTTTAACAAGTACTAAAAAATGCTGGTAAGATTAGAAGCTTTCTAGGTATCCATGAACAATCTGACTCGTGTGCCTACAGTCTTGGCTGAGCAATTACATAATGAAAATAATAGTTACCTGCTAAGTATTCTATGACAGCTGCCATGTACACAGGGGCCCCCATGCCTATCCTGTATTTGTGTGTTCCTCTTCTCAAGTAACGCATCATTCTACCAACGGGAAAGATGACTCCAGCCCTTGACGAGCGAGACAGCTTGGTTGTTTTCTTTTTCCCCCCTCTGGCAGACATCTTTGTTCTGTCTGGTATCCGTTTCTATAAACTGTGAAGTTGTGAGGCTTAGTTAAAGGAACCAATGACTGCAAAATAAAATATAGATATTGAATCTTTACTGTGAATCGTTCCAACAAAACATGTAAATAACCCAGATCAATACAACATACCCGCCAGTATATAAACATAATAGTAATCTGGACAAAGAAGAATATGAGTGAAAAATACATATGGGAGGCTTTGGTATACATATTCTTCCCACCATTTTATTTATTCAGAGTTTCCCAAATATGTCCGGAAGCTTCAATAAAGTGCATGTTTTGCAGGGGATATTGCCTTTGCAATGATGGAATATACAATGTTGTAGCAATCTACCTACTTGTGTGGATGTCCACAAAGCACACATTTGAAGGACAAGTATAGGAAACATCACTTTAACGCAAACCTGATGTCCTAATAATTTTATACATTTATACACCTCCAGGTGGCTGAAGGCATGGTTCCCAGTTGGCTCCCAATCCTTATGGCCAACCCCAGGTGTTCAATTATTAAAATAGGAACCAGTTTCTGTGGTTGAGAGCTTTAGATCCTCATATGAACCTCATAGTTGGTCATTAGGCTGCCATATCACAGTGATGAAATATAGAGAAAAGAAAGCTGCTTTAGGAACCCGACCATGTCCAAAGCTATCTTCAAATCAGAGTTTCCTACAGTCCAAGTACTGTATTCCTATCTCTTGAGAGTTTGAAGCCGTAAGGAAGAGTGTCTCCTATAGGTTCTCAAATACATTGGCCATACCCATCCAAGAATGAGGAAGGAGTGGAGGGAAAAAAAAAAAGGGACCACCATCAGTGTCCCTTTTTTTTTTCTCCACTTCTTTCTCATTCTTGGATCGGTATGGCCAACATATTTCAGAACTTATAGGAGACAATCTGTATTTTATAGGTCCTGAGGAAGTGGATCATCCCACGAAAAGTGTAGACCATCTGTGAGGATTTTACATTTATGTTCTTCCACTATCTGTATGCTAAAATATCGATTGCACTGGAGTCTGACTATATACTCAATTTCTTAGATTATGTTTTTAAATGTGTAAATAAAGTTGCAATATTTTTTAGAATTTTGTATTTTATTAGTTGTGGTTATAATATCTTAGCACGTCAAAAATGTTGACTCCCAACGAGACTGAACATTTATTAAGTAGCACTACAGAACTCACACCTATCACCGTGATGGGGTCAATGGTTAGGAGTCAAATTGGGCAGAGTGAGATTAGAACCACAGAAGCTGGTTATCTGAAGACTAGATCAGAATAGAGTGACCCAAATTGTGCAGCTGCAAGGATGCTCTAGAATGAAAAGCAATCAATGTGGTGACTAGTATGTAATGGGAAGATTCACACATTGTTACCGAAGATTCAGTTAGAAAATGTGTAAATCTTGGGTGAAAGTTGTATGTATCTTGAGCAAAAACATTGAATGTAACTTTGTAATAACAAGTTCAGCAGACAGTAAATCTTTATATCAGAAAATACTGATTGAATGATACCTTATCGCACACGCTTACACATAGAGAGTAACTATGGAGATGAGTCAGCCATCAACAAATGACATTATCCCTATAGCTTGACAACAAATTCTGTGTAATATCTCCATTCAATGATTTCTTTTCAATATCTATCTGAAGAATAGAACATTTCTTTTTTTCACAGCACAAAGACTAACATAATTAGAACTGTTAAAACACAGGATCTAATGAGAATAGCTGACTGGGGAATTCTTCAAAACAGTAATCCATGTTTGCTTGTCTAATGAGTGTAATTGGCAGAACAAAGAAGAAAAAGCAGACTTTTCCAATAATGCCACCACCATCCTGATTCCCCGGAGAGCAGCTGCATATGAAGTACTCTAAAGATGAATGTTTCCATGGATGTTATACAAGAATGGAATGGTATTTCCATTTTAACTGTTGCTTCTAGGACAGAGGTTTATATAGCATTCTTAAATGATGCCAGCACGCTATAATGCAGAATACAGAGCCAAATAGCAGAAGTGTGGATGGATAAACCTTTCTTAAACTTTTGCAGAAAATCAAATAGCACGAACGGCATATACATCAGAGATAATAGATGCAAAATATAAATGTATACAGTACTAAATGACAAAATATTATTTGTTCAGGCTAAGATAAAAATATATGGCATAAAGTGCAGCGCTAAATAAATAATTAATAAAATATTGTGAAACAGTCAATTGCAACGTATAAAGTGAAATAAATATAGTCCATATATAAAACAATGTATATTGTCCATGCGACTACAAGGCACAGCAATCACGGCGAAGGATAAAACTGTGATAATGATCCAGTGAGGGAATCCACCACCTCTGTCAGATGTAAACTCACCAGAAAGCTACTGGTAAATAGCATGTATGCACACCACATCAGGAAATAGGAAACAGCCAGAAGGCTCTAACATGGACTGCACCCTCTCCTATGAAAAACAGCTCAGCGCAGGAGCCCGGAAGTGGTAAATAGTGCAGTATTTTATTGCAGAAATAGATAAAACAATCCACGTGGAATAAAGATAAATAGGGTAAAATCACTTTACAAAGATTGGCCGCCGCTCCGACCTTTGGCAGCAGCGGCGTGACGTCAGCAAGTGTGGCTCCACCCGATGCGTTTTGTGCGCATGCACATCTTCAGGGGTATGCCCACTTTATACCAAATATTTATTAGGAGTTGTTACCTTTACCTTTGTGCTAGCTGCTTCATATTATCTTCCAACACTCGCCTATATACCAAGATAAAAATACGGTTTTGCAATCCTAACCTCATGTGACCAGTAGCTTTATTTTGCAATACAAATCTACCCTTGTAACATTTTGGGACCAGCTGCCTCTGATGTAGCATTTAGGCTAGGTTCACATTTCTGCAATACAAATTTGACCCTACTTTAAGTGCGATTATGTAGTGCCACTTAGATGCAACTTTGATAAGGTTTATATATTCTATGAAGCCAAAATCGCACTGGAATCGCACCAAAGTACAGTAACATTTTTCAAAATCGCTTCATTCTGAGTCACGTTGATGTGAATGTACACCATTGAAACCATGCAATTCCCCTTGTCATGCAGTCCTGTGTGACTCAAGTCACATCTGAAATGGCACTAGTGTGAACCAGGCCAGTAGAAGGCTTCTATAATAGGCCCTGTGGAGTAATGTCCTCACATTCCTAGTTACAAGAACTTAAACTGTCCAAGCTGGAGAGGCCACGGCCACTGCAGGAGGTAGCCACTTCATCTGAAGCAAGTAGTGGAGCATATCTATAGGATGAGGAGGACAGTTGGCCCCATTTTGTTTAAAAGAGCAGTATTTTGTCAATCCCAACTGCACAGTTCTGCAACTAAATTCCAACTCTCATACTTTTTAAATGTTTTCTTTGCCTCTTTAAATAAAATGTTTTCTGAAAATTTTACATACCTCAGAATTGCTCACTGTATACGAACAACTAACTTACCCCACAATACTATAATACCAACTACAGCCTACACCTTCTTCACCAAACCCCAGTATCCGGGTAAAGGTATATCCACTTTCTACACGCACCTCACAAACTCACAATTTACTCTACAAACAACCTCCCTAACCAATTGGGAAAAAATCCTTTCAGCCCAAATAACTTTAAAGTGTTGGGAAAATACCTTCAGCATCACTTAAAACCTATAAAGGTACACGATGTAGCTCCCACTGGGAATCATACTTAAAAATACTCCACCAATGGTACCTGACCCCGGTTAAACTTTCCAATACTACCCGAAACAGTCCTCTACATGCTGGAGACTCTGTGGTGAGCCAGGCTCAACAATCCACATTTTGTGGTCATGCAAATCACTTCGCTCCTTCTGGAATATTACATTCCAGTTAATCTCTGAAATACACAAATTTCCATTAGTCCCGAACCCCTCATTAGCACTTCTACACATTGGAATCAAGAAACTCCCTCCATGCTCCCGAACAATTATTACCCACATACTCTTTGTGGCAAAAATTAATATTACTAGACTATGGAACACAAACAATACCCCCTCAATCACCTCATTAATTACAGACCTTAACACCCAATGTCAAATGGAAAAACTATCCGCAATCAACACTTCCTCCTACCACAAATTCAATCTCCAGTGGACCCGATGGCTAAACCACCCAAAATGTAATATACAACCTTGATGACATCTCAGGAAATGAACTCACACCCCACACCGAGACTGGTATCTACTCAATTCCCCAGTTATATTCCTCCCTCACCAAGGCCCTTCAAAGGCACACGAATACCTCTGATGATATTGCTAAACAAGACCAATACCCCATCTGTCCAGAGGGCAGATATACAATAAATTGATCAACCATATTTGTCTACTGTAATTTTGTATGATTGAACCTTATCTCTTTTCCCTGTTTATCCTTGAAAAACTCAATAAAAATATTGAAACATAAATAAAATATGTTTTCAATACACTACTGACCCTATCCATATTCCAGCGCTGGCCTCCTCGTCCTCTGCTCCTGATGGCTGCTCTTCTCCTGGGTTGAATGACTTCCAGTGTCATTAAACTATCATGGACACACCCCATGGACTCACAGAATAATGCCCTCTCATCACTGACACCAGAGGAGAAGAACGGCCCTGAGATGTCAGTTGACCAGCCAGGACACACCAGAAATTTTGTTTAGAGCCTAGACATGTATGCTAATATGTAAATGAAAAGATAAAAATGTGCAGACGGCGGCATGGGGGTTGTTTGGCAATAACCTGGAATGAGACTTAAGGGCCAGTTCACACTACATGTGTTTCAGTGTGGTTTTTTTGCATCCAAAACGCACTTACAGTAGGTTATATGGTTTTCAATGTCATAGTTCACATCAGTACTTGCAGTTAAAGTGCATTCTGGTTGCAGAAAAAAAAGTAGAACAAGCTGTATTTTTCCTGCACAGACCTGTGCTGGAACGCGGCAAAATGCATCAAAACCGCACTGGAACGCATCAAAAATGTACTAGACACACATGTCCCTAAATTGCAGAAAAAGAGAGGGGAAAAAAATGACCAAGCACCTAGGCATGCAGACTGCTTCTACAAACATTTGTGAAAGAATAAGTCGCTCTCAGAAGCTAAGTGAACTCCAGCTTGGTACCGTGATAGGTTGTCACCTGTGCAATAAGTCCATCCATGACATTTCCTTGCTACTAAATATTCCACGGCCAACTGTTAGTGGTATTATAACAAAGTGGAAGCAAAAGAGAACAACAGCAACTCAGCAACGAAGTGGTAGGCCACGTAAAATGACAGAGCGGGGTCAGCGCATGCTGAAGTGCACAGATGTCACCAACTGTATACAGAATCAATATCTAAAGACCTCCAAACTTCATGTGGCCTTCAGATTAGCAGAACAACAGTGCTTAGAGAGCTTCATGGAATGGGTTCCCATGGCAGAGCAGCTGCATCCAAGCCTAACATCATCAAGTGCAATGCAAAGCGTCGGATGCTGTGATGTAAAGTACGCCACCATTGGACTCTAGAGCAGTGGAGTCGTGTTCTCTGGAATGGTGAATCATGCTTTTCTGTTTGTCAATCCGATGGATGTATCTGAGTTTGGAGGTTGCCAGGAGAACGGTACTTGCTTGACTGCATTGTGCCAAGTGTATAGTTTGGTGGAGGGGGGGGGGTTTATGGCGCAGGGTTGTTTTTCAGGAGTTGGGCTTGGTCCCTTAGTTCCAGTGAAGTGAACTCTTAAGGTGTCAGCATACCAAGGCATTTTGGACAATTTCATGCTCCCAAATTAGTGGGAACAGTTTGGGGACGACCCCTTCCTGTTCCAACATGACTGCACACCAGTGCACAAAGCAAGGTCCATAAAGACATGGATGAGTGAGTTTGGAGGAACTCGGTGATTGACATGCCAAGGAGCCAATAGCGGCATGGATAGGGAGCACACGCATGTGCCCCCTACCCGGAAAAACAAAATCATGTATATTTATGTGATTTTGCACATCCCTGTTACCCCGTAGCAGTACTTCTGCTATAGGGTGATCGGGAAGCGAGACTGGTGGATGTTTTTTTAATTTCTATATTATCACTTACAAATTCATATACCGTATATGCATGTTATAATGTAAATGTTATTACAGTATCATTATAATACAGGATTTATATAGTTAATACAGTTTGTGCAGCTGTTATAATTATTGATTACTTATGGTTTCTCAATCTGGAAAGAATTGTTCTAGGTCTAGTATGTTAGCCTCAGGGTAATGCATAACAATCAATGTAAACATTAAGGACCTTTTGGTGCACAGAGCCGATCTCTGATCTGAACAGGCAGAGCTTCTCCACGAAGCTGATTAATGAAACAGGCAATTAAGATAATTGTCTTATACAGAAAGATCAATAAATTAGTTTTATATAATGTTCCTACTGCCAGAGATATTCTAGAAATTACACATAACCTAATTGTTATACCTGCAGCACAGGGTGATAAAAGAGAAGGATAATTAATCAAGCGGTTAAATATACTTATGGAGTTTTGAGCACATTTTTGAGTGTCTGTTATTAATGAAAAATGAATCTTCGCTAAAAATCAATTTCAGTGTACGGTCACCTGTCACGGTTTAATGATTCTTTCTGCCTTATATAATGGAAAGTTTCTTTATAATAGTCAGGGATAATTAAACTTGAAGCAATGGTTTCCTAGTGGAAAGGAGAGACAGACTTTTTAAATAGTTAATGTTTTAAACAGTTCTTTTCACATTTTATTCATTGGATGAATCTAGCTGAACGAAAGATTGTGGTTCGTAAAATGACTTATGTACACGAGGGATTTAACATAAAGGAACAAAAAAAAGAATACAACCTTTCAGTAGATTGTACAGGATTTGTGTAAGGTATATTTTATTGCTCTACTTATTTTCCTATTTTTGCTAATATAATTTGCACCATGAAAATAAAATTTTCTTAATTTTAAGAAATTTCCTCCCCTCACTGGTGCGCTGGGCTGTGGAGGGGGAGGGAGCAGCTGGCTCAGGCTCTCAGCGGCTCTCTGAGAGGCTGAGCCGGATGCTGCTCCAGACTCTGGGGTGGATCCCAACTTTAAAATCAGGATCTTTGCCTAGATTGGACCGGCTGAGTGATGTCAGCCCGCTGTCAGCTGAAAACGGGGTCACAGGAGTGCAGAATGAACTGCACTCCTGTGATCCACAGGAGAAGTACAGCCAAAAGAGCTTTGGTTGTACTTCTTTAAATGTACATTGTAACATACGATGGGAGTTCAAGTCAAACCAGGATTTTTGAGTTTATATAATAAAAGAATACATTTCAAGGAGTGGATGCTGCATTTATTTTTCAGCATACTCCCCTGCTACATTTATACACTTATCGCAACGTTTAACTAATGCCTTTAAAGCTTTTGCATAGAAAGATTTATCAGTACGCTTGTACCATCCTAGGACAGCCTCTACACTTCGTCATCAGTATAAAGTATTGACTCAGGGGGCTGAATACAAATGCACGCCACACTTTTCAGATATTTATTTGTAACAAATTTTGAAAACCATTTATCATTTTCCTTCCACTTCATAATTATGTGCCACTTAGTGTTGGTTTGTCACAAAATCCCAATAAAATGCATTCACGTTTTTGATTGTAACATGACAAAATGTAAAACGTTTCAAGGGGTATGAATACTTTTTCAAGGCACTGTATTAAGCTAAAACACACAAAAAACAAAGGCTCAGAATTAAAATGTGAACAATAACAAAAAGTTCAAAAGGAGCCAGTTGATCAAATGATGTAATACAGAACCTCCTAATATAGAATAGGCTGGAGAATTAATTATAGAGAGCGTTGTTCCAATGTCCAGCCCATTTCAAGACTGAAGCTCTTCCACAGGCACAGTCCCGAAACCTTGACTTTCAAAAATGGACCCTCATTAATACCAATTAATAATACAGATATCAACATGAAACATTATATTCACCACTTACAACACTCATGAGTATTGTCAAGAATCACATATGAGGATAAATCCTGTGAAAAATTCTTAAAAACACATATTGTGTGATACGCATGTGCTCAACCAAGCCAACAGCAAGGACGGGCCAGCAGGCAGGGTCAGGCAATGCCAACAGAGACCATGTGTGTATTTTTGCCCTTCAACATCCCTGCCACCCTTTATTTATTGATTTACATTCCTTCTGGGATGGGCATTGAATGATCTCCAGTCACACCATTTCATATTTGTAATTTTACTGATAGTTGAGCTGTAACACAACATGTAGAAGTAGTACGGGTACAGCTGCAGATACATTTTAATTTGGTGGTATTAATGATACAGGAATCAGCAGTAGACAGGTGTTCCCAAATTAGAATTTGAAACAAATGGGCAGGCCTGTAGACCAGAATTGACACCTAGGTGCCAATAAGATCCTCATATCCTTGTCACTGGCCAAGCTGGTCACATCTTCACACCCTTGGACTCCCAGAAGCGCGGTGCTCTCTACTTGTGTTTCTCGGTTTCTGCTTGTAAGTACCTCTCCTGTGTGTAATAAAGTGATTCATCTGGCAGTATTACACAATGTCAACTGCTTTTGTTTTTTTCTGAGGATGGGTTCATCCAGTGTGATGTGCTTTTAATCCTTGATGTACCCTGGTTGTGATTATGATGGTTATTATTAACCGGAGGAGGGGGCTTTCCAAAGGATTTATCATCTTTGATCTCTCTAACTAGGTGATCAATGTGATCTGGTCAGACAGTTGTACTGTGGCAGATTGTATGTAGATTGTAAACTAGCATATTTTTACACTAGAGTTACCCTGCACATCTCACGGGTTCATGTTCATGAGCCCTAAAGTAACTTTGAATTACAGACTCTGAAAAAGCATGATTAAATTAGTTTTAGAAAGTCTGAAGATTTCTCTATCTTTATCAAGGTTAGCAACTCGATAACATTAAAACCAAAGCATTAGCATGAGAGTCAGGGAACCAGCACTCTCCAAAAGAATATTCAGCAATAGCAGTCTCCATTTTTCTCACATAAACTCCATTTACAGATTATTTCCAGGTATATTATACCGTATATTGGTCCTTCTTGGACCAATGTAACTATGTATATATTATAACTGGCCGACACCCTTACTTCAGTGATCTTCACTTGCTCTTGGATTCAATGCAGATTCTCCGGCCTGATACTTCGTGAACAAAAGGAGGTCAGACACTCAGAATGGGCACCATGAATGTATACCATTGTCTGATTGGATGAGGTGGAAAGGAAAGGTGGTGAGTCTCTAGGACAAAATGTAAACATAAATCTCCACAATAGGAGACAGATAGTAAAGCAAAAAAAAAAAAACTTGACTCATTTCAGAGGAAAAAAAGGATTGGCTTTGTTTAAACGCATGTTGATGTGTCAGAATCAGATGAGATTAGGAATAACGTGTTTCCATGTAGGGTATGTAGATATATGTGGTTCAGCCACACTACGTTTTAAAGAAAGGATCCTTTGCAAGTTTGGACTAGTGCGATCCACTGAGGCTCTGAGGAAGAGGCAAGTCCTCGAAACGCGTCAGCCTATTGGATGTCTACACTCCCTACTGCGGACTGTTACTCAGCGCGGTGTTGATTAAGCTGTTCTTTTATGACGTGCCTTGACTTTATTGTCATTTGTGAGTACAGCACCTACTTTATTTCTTATTAAACATTTTTTATGGTAATGAACTAGGCCTGTGGGCCCTCTGTTTGTTGTTTCCTCATTCAGTATATTTGGATTTCCCCGGTCCATTTGAGGGCAGCAAGGTGTGCATGTTCCAGGACATTCTTAATGTGGTTGTAGCCTGCATCGAGTCCATCCCCAAGCACAGGAGCATTTGTGTTTGCTGGAAAATGGATGTGTGTTCAGATGCACTGCAAATCCAATGCGTTTTTGTTATTATTTTCGCTATTAGGAGATAGAAAGATGCAAACGCAGGTGTATCAAAATCGCATGAAAACTGCATTGCTATAACTGTTGAATCGCAGCTGATTTGCATCCCCATATTGCACTAAAAAATGGAGCAAAATTGCAACACACATGTCTGAACCTGAGCGAAGAGTTCTTTGCTCTCTGTGTCCTATTTGGAAGAATTACCTTCACTTTCTTTCCCTTGTACAAACAGGAAGATCTCCACAAAAGGGAATCCCCTCTTTGTCACAAGAAGTGTCCCTGACTTTCAGGCCTGCTGTATACTGTTACCAGGACAAACAGAGAGGACAAATCTCCCCAAAGAGGTCACAGATGGCAAGAAAAAAAGAGAAGATAGAGGTGGCCCTTTTCCAATGTGTCCAGGCTAACAGGAAAAAAGATTGACTTTAGATACAGTTTTAGGCCTCGTTCATGCCTGCGATAAAGGTCGGACAGCTGATTCCTGCAGCAAGACTCGCAGGTACATGTTAACAGCTGCAGCCAGGAAGCCTGTATAAAGCAATGGCAGGCTGACAGGAGCTGTTCACATGTGTCTGCACATCCAGTGGTTAGCTGAGGTTAGGGACAGATGATTGCCCTTGATGCAGACACACTATGTTTGGGCCGATCATCTGTCCCTAACTGCAAGTTAACCACTAGATGTGCAGATACATGTGAATAGCTCCTGTCAGCCTGCCATTGCTTTGTAGAAGTTTGCCAGGCATAGCTGTTCGCGTTGACCTGGAATTCTTGCTGTAGAAATCAGATGTCTGGCCTTAACAGTACCTGTGATTGTGGCCCAAAGTGACCAAAATGAAACAGCTTACTACTACGGATTTAATGTATGAACTGCAGAAGGCTCCAGGCATCCCATAGATACATTATATTGTTAAAAGTATTGGGACACCCCTCCAAATCATTGTACTCAGGTGTTCCAATCACCTCCATGGCCACAGGTGTATAAAATCAAGCACCTAGGCATGCAGACTGCTTCTACAAACATTTGCGAAAGAATGGGTCACTCTCAGGAGCTCAGTGAATTCAAGCGTGGTACCATGATAGGTTGCCACCTGTGCATTAAGTCCATCCGTGAAATTTCCTTGCTACTAAATATTCCACGGTCAACTGTTAGTGGTATTATAACAAAGTGGAAGCAACTGGTAACAGCAACTCAGCCACCAAGTGGTAGGCCATGTAAAATGGCAGAGTGGGGTCAGCGCATGCTGAAGCGCACAGCGCGTAGAAGTCGCCAACTGTCTGCAGAGTCAATAGCTAAAGACCTCCAAACTTCATGTGGCCTTCAGATTAGCAGAACAGTATGCAGAGAGCTTCATGGAATGGGTTTCCATGGCTGAGCAGCTGCATCCAACCTTACATCACCAAGTGCAATGCAAAGCGTCGGATGCAGTGGTGTAAAGCATGCCGCCACTGGACTCTAGAGCAGTGGAGACGTGGTGGTTGCCAGGAGAACGGTACTTGCCTGACTGCTTTGTACCAAGTGTAAAGTTTGGTGGAGGGGGGATTATGGTGTGGGGTTGTATTTCAGGGGTTGGGTTTGGCCCCTTAGTTCCAGAGAAGGGAACTCTTAAGGCATCAGCATACCAAGACATTTTGGACAATTTTGTGCTCCCAGCTTTGTGGGAACAGATGGCCCCTTACCGTTCCAACATGACTGCACACCAGTGCGCAAACAAGGTCCATAAAGACATAGATGAGCGAGTTTGGGATGGAGGAACTTGGCTGGCCTGCACAGAGTCCTGACTTCAACCCGTTAGAACACCCTTAGGATGAATTAGAGCGGAGACTGCGAGCCAGGCCTTCTCGTCTGACATCAGTGCCTGACCTCACAAATGCACTTCTGGAAGAATGGTCAAACATTCCCATAGACACACTCCTAAACCTTGTGGACGGCCTTCCCAGAAGAGTTGAAACTGTTATAGCTGCAAAGGGTGGGCCAACTCAATATTGAACCCTACAGACTAAGACTGGGATTCCATTAAAGTTCTCATGTGTGTAAAGGCAGGCGTCCTAATACTTCTGGCAATATAATGTATTTTTTACTACCTTCACTCCACATAGTACAGTCATGTGTGAAAAGTACTGTGCTGAGAAAAATGAGAAAGAAAGAGAAATATGTAACTGAGGAAGTATTCATATGTGAGCGATTTCCTTCACCGTTGTTAGCTATGCAGGGTGCAGGAGCACAGGATGTGGGTGCGGTTAGGTCTGGGTGACATAAATTGCATTGTCACCAGTTATATTTCCTTGCAATGCAAACTCAAAAGGTAACACTTCTGTTAACTTCAATACTCTAACTCCTTTAACGGTCATTTTGATCAACACAAAAATTTGTGCTGTAGAGCAGTTGGCTCCTTTGGTGTGGGTGTGGGTGGCATTCATGGAACATCAGGCTGCAAGGTTACTGCAAACTCCATACACTTCTTAGTAAAAAAAGAAAAAAAAAACTGTCCCATTTTCATTTTTATTTGTTCTGGCCTAATAATTTATTAAACCGCTAAAAAGGAAAGTGATAATTTCATATGTGCTGAAATAACAGACCTCCACGGTATTGCATCCATATGTAGTTATGAGTGTAGCAGGCTAGCTTATAAGCCCGTATTCAATTCATGAACTAGTTCATTGTCAGGCGGTGACCATTAATTGAAATGGACAGTTGAGCTAGAAATGCTCTCCACCAATCCATAGCAACAATGAACTAATTGACTCAGCGATTAAGACCCTATTCACACTTGTACGACTTGTCATTTGACTTCGGACATTAAAGTCACATGACAAGTTGTACCCCGTGTTTTCCAATGATAACCATTTATATATGTGTGACTTAAAGTTGCAGCGACTTCAAAGTAGTTCATGCACTAATTTAGTCCGACTTTCATGCAACTTTTGAGGGTAAACATTGAAGTCTATGACCCTCAAGTCATACCTAAATATTTTACATGCAACAGTGGTGCAACAGCGAGTCAGACTTTGCAGAGGGACAAGTCACATCCAAGTCGCATCCATCCAAAGTTGTGTCAAAACTGCGTCAAAGTTGCACTCCAAAGTTATGCATCTTTGGAGTCTTACAAGTGTGAATGGAGTCTTATATAGACATCAGTTTCTGCTAACATGAATGATGAAAAAAGGGGGACAGGGGGAAAGCCGGGGACTCCACCAAAATTGAATGTAGAGTTAGGTGCCTCCAGAAATACCTGGTAGGATATTGACTAAGACATACAAATTGAAAACCCAAAGAAAATAAGCTACACACCTAAAAGGCTAACCTCAAAAACATGTTTATTATCTCATGAAGCCATACAAAGTAAAAACACATTGCATCGGGGATCTAGAAACCACTCCTGACCATAAAACCCCTCACCACTCACATGGGGGGGAACCTCCCACAATGGGCACTATATAGATGGTACAAAAGAAAGTGTCCAATGTGCCCCAGTATGTCCACAGCACCCACATCTCCCCTGAAGAACAACCCCCCTCCCCCAATACCACAACCATCCCTAAACAATCCCCCAGGAAAATCCCCCAATATGCCTCCCAAGGTACCCCAACACTCCTCCCACAAGGACCCTCCTAAACCCACCCGTCCAACCACCCCCCATCCTCAGAAAGAAGGGAGCTGAGGTGTAGAACTCGCCCACTAAAGCCCCCCTACCCCCCAGACCCTGTTAGATCTAATATCCCATCTGCAGTACCAACACACTACATGAGCAAGAATAATGTAATAATCCTATGGATAATGATTGATTGCAGTCAAAGGGCCAACCTAAATACCAGATGATTTTATATATATATATATATATATATATATATATATATATATATATATATATGTGTGTGTGTGTGTGTGTGTGTGAAGTAAACTGATCAGGACCTGAAAGCGAATACCAAGTATAAAGGGCTATAGCCTCTGAAGTCCAACCTGAACAGTCAGGTCAATAGTGCACCAACAAAATGATAATGAGCCTGGTATGGCCAATTCAAAGACAAAAAAAGAAGGGGGGGGGGGTGGAGTTCTACAATAATATCCAGCATGATGTGTCCACTATGATACAGTCTACAAGTATGCAAGGTGTCAAATAATCCACATACAGCCTGCTATGTGGAAACAGGCTGATGACCAGGCATTGACAGACCACAGTATTCTGCAATGGTGAGCCTCCAAGGTATAATCCAATGTATAGATTGTAAGGGTATGGATGGTGACACAGCCAGCGGAACTAGATGCAAAGATGTAATGCGAGTACCTGCCACAGCAACCTCGATGTGTGTAGCCAGTCCAGCCTGTGCAAGCCTGCACAGCTGATACGGCCTAGATAACAACACCGGGTCGCCAGTACTCACTGTATGATGGGACCAGCAAGGTCCTGTGAATCAAGCCGCGGCCATGTCCTGTAGGGGTTCTGCTAGGGATCCAGCTATAGCTGCTGGCCATGTGTGTAAAGTCCTATGAAGACACCATGCGGTGTGTGGGTAGCATGGGGGAAATGGAAGGAGGGGGCATGTGACCATGCTGACGCGTTTTGTCCTGCCTCTTCCGGGACTTCTTCAGAGCAATTGGTTAGACAGGTTGTCAATCAATACTTATATATCATCAGAGGTATCCACCCTCAAGTCAGTTAAAGATATCTCTCCTTCCATCTAACACCTGTCATCCACATATACAAGGAAGGTTGGAAAAGAGAAATGGATCAGGGAGGGAAGAAAAGGGAAGCATACAAATAAATCACGTAACAATTACGTAAAGGAGCTGCCCGCACTGTCCGCATCAGTTGAGCCCAATAGTTATATACACAATTGTATCATCTCTAAATAATTCACCATGATGACCATAATGCCTCTCAGTTGTATCTTACCAGACACAGAGGAGGATAGGGAACAGAAGTAATATATATACGTATATTATGGGTGATACCTAACCATGTAAACCAACACAATACACACTGGAATATAAAACATGAGGCCAGGTGAACTTAACAATTGGACCATTAAAAACAGCCCAACACAATAACCTGAATGATGGTGACTTTTTTTCCAGGCTCCTCCTCTTGTGTCACGTGTTTATTTCAGAAAAGAAAATACTTCTGGAGTGCACTATTGGACACGGTGTGCATCTGCTTTATATGCAGAATCTTTTTTTTTTTGTTTTTTGTTTTTTTAGATGTACTGACCACTAAATAAAAGAGAACAGACAGAGGACTTTTGAGCTATAAAAATAGCCTACCAGCTACTATTAATACTCCCTGCACCCATTTACAGCTACAGTTCTCTTCCTGAATAAAAGTGGAACTAAACCCACAGGTTTCCCAAAATGGTTACAAGGCATGCTGTGAATAATAATTGTCACAGTTGCTTGTGCGTTTAACCACACTGTAAATCCATCAAATGGCTGGTGTCATAAATAATCATATGTGCAGAACCATGGCAACTACAAATCAAACAGGGGCTAAGGATGCAGCTTCCTTGGCTGTAAAGGATAGGAGGGTTTAGTTCCACTTTAGGTCTAAGGCTCTATTCACACATGCTGCAGTGACCTGTGTTTTACCTCACTGGAAGAACGCAGGTCACTGCAGGGACACATAGAAAACAACTGATTTGTGTGTGTCCTGTTCATAGTTACAGTGGGGCAAAAAAGTATTTAGTCAGCCACCAATTGTGCAAGTTCTCCCACTTAAAAAGATGAGAGAGGCCTGTAATTGGCATCATAGGTAGACCTCAACTATGAGAGACAAAATGAGTAAAAAAATCCAGACAATCACATTGGCTGATTTGGAAAGAATTTATTTGCAAATTATGGTGGAAAATAAGTATTTGGTCAATATGAAAAGTTCATCTCAATACTTTGTTATATATCCTTTGTTGGCAATGACAGAGGTCAGACGTTTCCTGTAAGTCTTCACAAGGTTGGCACACACTGTTGCTGGTATGTTGGCCCATTCCTCCATGCAGATCTCCTCTAGAGCAGTGATGTTTTGGGGCTGTCGCTGGGCAACATGGACTTTCAACTCCCTCTAAAGGTTTTCTATGGGGTTGAGATCTGGGGACTGGCTAGGCCACTCCAGGACCTTGAAATGCTTCTTACGAAGCCACTCCTTTGTTGCCCGGGCGGTATGTTTGGGATCATTGTCATGTTGGAAGACCCAGCCACGTTTGATCTTCAATGCCCTTGCTGATGGAAGGAGGTTTGCACTCAAAATCTCACGATACATGGCCCCATTCATTCTGTCCTGTACATGGATCAGTCGTCCTGGTCCCTTTGCGGAGAAACAGCCCCAAAGCATGATGTTGCCACCCCCATGCTTCACAGTAGGTATGGTGTTCTTTGGATGCAACTCAGCATTCTCTCTCCTCCAAACACGAGTTGTGTTTCTACCAAACAGTTCTATTTTGGTTTCATCTTACCATATGACATTCTCCCAATCCTCTTCTGGATCATCCAAATGCTCTCTAGCAAACTTCGGATGGGCCCGGACATGTACTGGCTTAAGCAGGGGGACACGTCTGGCACTGCAGGATCTGAGTCCCTGGCAGTGTAGTGTGTTACTGATGGTAGCCTTTGTT